AACAAAATGAAATTGCAAGTTACAAAATAACATTGTTTAAACAATAAATTTACCTTTGGACAGACCAATTCAGGTTTCTGTTTGTAGGTTTCTGTTTGTAGGGATGATTTCCCTTCATTACCTGATATGTGGAAAATGCCCTAACATAATAAATGATAAAATATAGAGTTTAACTTCAAAATAAATTCTAACCAATAGATCAAAATCATCTAAAATAAAACATACGTCGTGATTTTCTGGACTATATCATTCTTAAGCTTTTTTGACAAGGAACAGAAACAAACCACCATATTCTGTTTAGGGCAACGTACAATCAACTGCCAATGATCCCTAACATTTCAAAAAGAAGAAAACATAGTTGTTACAAGTATTTGCTTCATAGATATGTAGTCATCACTATACATTAAAATGTTAGAGTGCATATCTGTACTTATGAAAGCTAACTGATTTTGTCTGTTTTGTTGCGAACAAGAAGATCAACTTTCGGCCATTTTTCATTATTGGAATATTTTCTTTTATTTATTTATTTATTCGTTTCTTTTTTGGCTACTATTAGACCTTAAAATATATGGATTTATTTATTTTATTTTATTTTGAACACAAAAACACACACAACATGCAGTAGCATTTGTGAATGGAGAGCAATATTATGGAGCAAAAACAAGCATAAATGTGTGGGCACCTCAAGTTACAGAGCAATATGAATTCAGCCTTTCACAGCTTTGGGTCATTTCTGGTTCTTTTGGTAATGATCTCAACACAATTGAAGCTGGTTGGCAGTTTGTTTGTTACACTTACTGATCTATATTTATAGGCCATTAATTAACTTCCCAAGTAGTACTTGAGAAAAAGAATACAAAAAGAGCCTTGAAAATTGGATATATTTCTCCCAGTGCTCTATACTCTCTAGTCACTCAAGAGTCAAGACTTGTTACAAATTACTCACTTTTTTATTTTTTATTTTTTCTTCTTTCACCAAGCAAAATATCAATAAAATCAGAATCTCATGGGATATAAGTTTAACTACTTGTTGATTCTCCTCTTTTCCTTGTCACTCTATCACAATTTCAGTTCTCTCAGGCTTCTACATTTGCGGTTGATGGTGTTTCACAATGGAAAAATCCTCAGGCTCATATAAAGCGAACAAACCCCAATATTGTCAACCCAATCTATTAACATATGCAAAATATATTCAACAAAAGAGGGCTTCTTCATATAAAACAACATCAAAGAGAGTAAGAACTACTAAAAGAGGGTGACAAGCTCACAGATATTGGAGAACCGAAAGGCGAGGGCTGAGTGCAGCGAATGGTAAGGGCTGAGTGCAGCAGACGGTAAGTGCTGCAGGGGACAGGGACGTGTGAACAGAGCCTGGTAATCACTTTTCACATCACTAATTATAATGTTATTCATAAATATATTAAGGACACACAAACATTTTTCAATCAATAATCTTGCAAATTCGAGCCACAATAAGGACAAAGGTAATCACTTTTCACATACCCATCACTAATTATGATGTTATGCATACATATATTAAGGATACAGTACCAATTTTTAATCTACAATCTTGCAAATTTGAACCGCAGAGGTAATCACTTTTCACATGCCCATCACTAATTATAATGTTTACTTTTCCATACATATTTTAAGAAATTAACCAATAAAGTAAACATGGGTTCTTCAGAATAAACACATATATAATGAAGATTAGCATTTGTACTGTACATAAAAACAGTCCATATTACATACCCTCCTCGTAAAGCAGAAGAACAATTGAACTTGATATAAGCAGACAACATTACAATTTTGATCATCACGAATGAAATAAACAAGAAATCGAAAATCCAGCTAAAATTTTACCTTTGGAACAAATTTAAAATAGAACGAACGGCGAGGAGCAGATGACAAGGGCTAGGTGCAGCGGACACCGAGGGCTCGGTGCAGCGAATATACAAACATCCTTGAAGATAGAAATTTCCTGTCCAAAGAATTCAGTTTTGAACAGAGGTACAAATTTAGAAGTATTCAGGGCTCTGCTCGGGAAAACGGAATCAAAATCACAATCTCCAATACCAACAACAATCAGACTCAAGAGTTGGGTTAGCCAAAATACCTTGAATCGGAGATAAGGAACCAAATCACCGGAAGAACAAATCGATTTGGCCGACTCTGTGGTGCTGCGAAGATCGTCGGCCGGTGTGCTGTCAAGGCTGGTCGCCGGACGTGGAAGTGGCTGGGAGTCGAAGGTCCCCGCAGTTGCCGAAAGAGAGCTCGGTCGTTGAGAGCTCAAAATCGCCGAACAATGGTCGGGGCTCGAGAGTAGCTGCGGCCTGACGGAAAATCAAGGGTCGATATCTCCGGAGGTCGAGGCCCGTCCGAGGTTGCAGTACGAGTGTGAATAGGGCTTGGAACGGCCAACAGCGGATGGTGAGGGTCAGTGCAGCGACGGACGGCGAGGGCTCAGTGCAGCGACGAACGACGACGGGGGCTTGGTAAGAACGGCGACGGGCGAGTTCGAATAGGGCTTGGACTGTGCGATTTTGGGCGGTTTGGAGAGGTTGTGTGATTTTTGTCGATTCTGTGATTTTGGCGAGATAGAGGGAGAGGTATGTTGTTGGGCGCCAGAGACAGATAGACGCACGGATTTGATAAATCTGAAAATTTTATAACAATTGTTTAAATAGCAGTTATAGATAATTGAGAATGTGAATAACTGTTATAGATAATTGAGAATCTGAAAACTTTATAACGGGTTTCATAGATACCCGATATAAATTTGTTTTCAAAACGGGTTTAACAAAATCGTTATAAAAACTCTGTTATAAAAAATGTTTTTTCTACTAGTGGCCACAACAATTTCTAATCCAGGGTGCGAATAAAAATAGACAGAAATTGATGATATTGACAAATTATTGGACCTATATTGAAAGTGGTCGATGGCGAGATGAATTTTCAAACTTTGATCAAATTATAGGACAAATTTTAAATTTTGGCCGTAAATAACTATTTTGAATGATAAGATAAGCACAAAAATGATCTCCAATTGAAATCAAATTTGGTGGGTACAACTGGCTCAATAAGAAGAATCCGATGGTGGGTTACCACCTAAATCGAATCTTAGACGGCGTCATAAATAAACTGAATGCACCTTCTTCTATCTCATGTTCATTGAATTTCTTCTTCTTTCTATCCTAAATATTTCGAATGACAAAATTGAGTGGACAAACGATTACGATTGGGCTAAAAGTTTACTGGTACGTACATCGAATAACTTTTGATTTAAGTAAAAAAAGAAACAACGAATTTATCTTATCACTAATGATTAGTACATCTTATTTAATAATTTTTAAATTAATGTCTATCAAAAAAATATACTTGAGAAAAAGATCAATATAGATTAAAGATAAAGTATGACCAATAATGTCACACATCTAACATGCTGAGGTGAGAAGTTCAGAATGAACCCCCACTTTTGCTATATTCTATGCACGTGTGTAACACGTTTCATGACTTCCAACATTCATATCTTGCTTAGGTATATAGTGATACAAGAAAAAAAATAAAAAATAGTAGTATGTTATAACCATTGTTTATATTAAAAAAAAAATGTCATAATTTATATTTTGATTCCCAAATTCTTTGTTAATAGTAATACTTAGACATGAATCATACTTCTTAAAGAAAAAGAGTATATATATTTATATTATATATGAAACAGAGTTTTTGTGTTTATGTTTTTTAATGTATGATATTCTATTAAAAGAACATATACATTTGTTGACAAAATGTGAATGCATTACTGATTTTTGAAGACTATCGTATTTCCA